TCTTACATAACCTATTTTTGGTTACTTTTCATCTTACATAACCTTTCATATAATCTCTCAATATCTTTTAGGAATGTAATTTAGATTGAAAATAAGAAAAATTAAACCTTCAAGTTATATTAACCCCTCTAATCCATTAGTTATGTTCCAGTTATGCTTCGGCCGCCACCACCACCTCCAATTCGTCAAGCCGGAGGCTACCCAGCCGAAGGGCCTGATGCAGGATGAGCTATTGGCCCTCCCGACAATTGGGCGTCCAATAAGAGCTTTTTATATTGGGAAATTATCCCAAAAAATTGCAATTAGAACTATGGAAATGGGTTTCATTCCACATATTCTTGCATAAGGTAATTAGATGTTGATTTCTAATGTTCTGTTTTTGTTTATATGTCTTTTGACATTTTCAACCTTTTGTGCATTTGTTCTAGGCAATTAGTATTATGTCTATTTTTTATTAGTACACCGTTTCCTGCTATTGTCAAGAGCTATCTGGACTTGTGCCCGGTGCATCCATGGTGATAAAAATTGCAATTTTTATTAGTTGCAAGCCGTTTGTTAACTGCTATACGCGTCCTCGATAGTATTACATGTTGATAAATTGTTAAAATGTATTATATGTATTTTTTCGGATTTAATTTTTTTTTTTGGGTAAATTACTTTAGACAAAGCAATTAAACTTGAAGAATGGCAACCAAACTCTTGAATATACAATATACTTGGTATTTAATTGTCTCAAAACACATACTTGGTTGACCTATATCTCAGAAATGAAAAAATGGACATCAATTTTTTATTTGAAAATGAGAGAGTAGGAAACTTGAAGACATTGTGTATTACATAGTACTAGAAAATATTTAAATTTCTAATATTTGATATTATTTCCTACATGTGTCATTGTAGGTGTCACGAATTTTAAATAAGTTTGAATTATGAAAAGCCAATGTGGTGTTGCAAAAAAATCTTCTTTGTATTTCCTCTTTTTGACATCCTCTTATTCTGCATATCTATATCTTCTTTGTTAATAAAATTCAAAATTTCTAATTTAATTCTAAATAATTAGTTGATAAATTTGAATTATAAGGTAATCGAGAACAAATCTAGAAAATTGCGAGATTTGTAAAATACTGATATATATGAAATATATAAGAAAATTTATTGTGCAGTCCAAATTTGAGTTTATATGTATATATATATATATATATATATATGTGTGTGTGTGTGTGTGTGTGTGTGTGTAACTGTTTTATGAAAACAATAATAAATGTTTTATGAAAAAAATATTATTTATTTTTTTAAAAAAAATTAAATTAAGTCAAATAAGTAATTATTCATAACATACGAGTGATATTAACTCAACTACTTAATTTTTTTGATTTGAATAATTTATATAAAAATAAAATTTATTTTAAATAAATTAATAATGAAACAATATAAGTTTTATATTTATACTTATTAGTCACACAGGTTTTAGATATATGATAAAATTTTACCAAATTAATTATTTTATGGAATCACATTATAGTCATATCGAATTTCTGAATAAAATTATTAAAATGACGCTTAATTTGAAATGAATATAATGTAATTTATTATCAGTTGTGTGCACCGCACGGGTTCTGTACTAATTTAATTTTTATGTAATTTTGAACAATTTAAATTTCATATAATATTTTCAATAAATTAGTACAATTAAATTGTATTACATATTGATTCTTTATAAATATTGTTTAATGAGAATATTTAATTTAAAAATATTAATTAATATCTCTTACCCGTGCATCGCAGGGGATTCGCACTAGTAGTAATGATAAAATATTAATAGTAGTAATAATAATAATAGTAATAGTAACAATAATAATAATAATATAACATACATATTTATTTATAGTGTCCAACAAAAATAAGAAATCAAATAAATATGTCAACAGTGTTTTTATGTTAATTTATTGCTTTAAATTTTTTAAGTGCTAAATTATGGACTTTTCTTTGTGCGTAACTTTCAGAATCAATTCATTGTCCAAATCAATTTTTTCAGTATTTTCAATCACAAAATCAATTATGTTACGAGTGGTAAGGAAAAAGTCAAATGGAAACGCTACTAGTTGTAGCGTTTTCAAATTTAGCGGTTTGAAGCAAAAAGCTAAGTGGAAAAGCTAATTTACCAAACACAATTATTAGCTGGTTAACAAGTCAAATAAGATATAAAGTGGTCAAACAGCCAAAAGTTGGCTTAAAAGCCAATTACCAAACGCAGCCTAAGTATATAGTAGAAATTGCAAATTATGGTTTTTATTGTAAATGGCAAAAGTAGAAGTTTTGGTGAATTTTAATGTTTCAACCCAAACATCTAATTTAATTATTTGGGTAAATTAGTTTAAATTAATTTTTTTAGCTTAAAATTAATTTTTATAAAATAAATCAATATACCAACATTTTAGACACTTTGCATTATTAGCTAACTCAATCAACTAACAAAGTTGTTAATTCAATCAATTATATGCTATAAGTTAATTCAATCAACTACTTGGTTAAAGCTAAGTGTTATTCTGTTGGTAATATTTATAAACTAGTACAATACTCGTGCATTATACGGGGCTTGTTAAGAAAATTATATTTAAAACTAAATTTAAAAAAGTTATAATTCCCAAGTATTTAAAAAAAAAAAAAACTATATATTTTATTTATATTTAAAATGACATTTGTCACTTACATGACTAGAAATCGTATATTATAATATTTTTTTATCTTATAGCATATAAATAATTTGTAGTTAAATTAATTTAAATAATTTTTTCAATTAATATTAATATTTAATTTATTTTTGATTATAAGGATAAATATATCTATATACTTATTGTTATTCAAAATACATATGTAAAATCGAATTTCATCAAGTCATGATTTATTTGATATATTTATTCAAATTTGATAATAAATACAAAATTATTAACTTTTATATATGTTTATAATTTATATTAGTAATTTTTTTATAATTATAAATAAAGATGAAAAAAAAAAAAAGATTGGAGAAAACAAATTATGTCTGAGAAACTACGTTCAAAATAGAAAATAATATTAAAACATAATTATTTTCTTAAAAATGTTCATAAATATGAAATATATATATATGGATATTCGAAACCTAAATATTTTTTGGATGGAAATAAATTAAAATCAATACAAGTTAATGACAAAGTATAAAAACTTGCCACATAGAATTTCGAATCGTGCGAGTTTGTCACTTAAACTCGTCACATTTTAAAATTATATGTAGGTGAATTTTAATTTTCTTAAACAAAATTGATATTACACAAATATAATATTTTTCATGCGCCAAAGTAGCGAGTGATGGAATATCCTATATTACAAAGTGAATTATTTTATTGCTAGATTCTTAAGTGGTGATAGAATAACATAAAGTGGCATTCCAAAATTGTATAATTTCATAACTTATGCTCATAACAATATTGTTGATGTACGAAATTTGATTAACATAGGGTATTTGGAGAATTGTTTGTATCGTTGAATTTCTCTGTATTTTTTGGTAGCTTTTCTTCAATTGGAAGAACGGCATAGATCAAAGAGAGAAATAGATGAAGACACCGCCTCAAAAAAATGTTGATAAGGAAAAGAAAAATTATAAAAAGCCCCTCAAACTTATTTGTTTTTGTCCATCATCGGGATTGTATATATACATATGTTTAATGGGTCTGATATTATCACGAGCGGTGTTATTTTTGGACACTAAAATGAAATAATTGATTTAATACATGTCCACGTATAATATTTTAATAGTCGAGACCAAAACTGTGTATCAACAAATATCATACTACTATTACGTAACTGACATGTTGCATTATACCAATTACACGTGATAATTAACAAATATCAAATTTTATTTATAAACATATAATGATTTTATTATTTTTTGATTTTAAATTAATTTATAAGAGTATAGGGTTGAAAAAAATGAGAGACGGTGAAATAAATTAGTTTCTAAAAAAAAAATCTATTCAATTAAAATTAAAAAGAAAAATATTCGACAAATAAAATAAAATAAAATAAAAAACCCAATAGCACCTTTACTTTTAAATAAATATAAAATTGTTCAACATTACTATATCAATGCATATTTCATTTTCCATGGAGCATATGTAATAATTATGATATTCTTCAAATATACTTTTAACTTTATTCTCTTTTGAGTGTATCAGATTTTGACTTTTCCCCATTTAGATTTGACAGGTCGTTCACAATATTTCATTAGAAGAAATTACTTTTAAGAGTACACTGTCCCATACTGACCGCTTTTTTTATGGCGGAGTAGAAACGCATACGTCTTCGTTATATATAGCAAAAAACAGACTTCTCTTTCCTTTGGTGCCAACTTTATGAACAATTAAGGGTGCATTGGGAAAACAAAAAAATATCTTGCTAAAAAAAATCAGGGACTATAATTAAATACAAAACTTAATTAAAATTCAATTTAAATCTAATTAAAATCAACTCTCATTATTATTATCATTATAATTAACTAATAAAAACTAATTTGTCCAATACAATTTTAAACAAAAAAAAAATCAATATTTATCTACTCACATATTAATCACCAAACATTTACAATTATTATTTACTGCTTTTATTATTATGTTAACTTTAATCACTATATTTTTAACTCATATTACTCACAAATTAAAAATCCAAACCCAACACGTTATGCGATGTTCAATTCTCTAGAGTTTGTTTTTTCTTTTTTTTTTTTTTCTTTTTAGCCTGTGGAGCATTATAAGAAATAAGTAATTATTATGACAGAAGGGGTAGCTAAGGACGTGAGGGAGTGACACGTGTACTCATGCAAAACTCTTCTTTTGATAATGGGACTTACTGGGCGGTTATTTTAACAGTTTACCTTGTTAATTCTCATTGATATTGTAGAGAGATCGACAATATTTTAGGAAAAAGAATGAGGAGAGATCGATGCCCAGTGCAGATGTGGATCGACATGGCCTTAGCGGTTTTGGGACATTCTTTTCCATAATTTAGGCCCATTATTTAACGAACTTGATATTTCACTTTTGGTTTAATGGGTCGGCCTAGAGTGGAAACGATGTTTACGTATAACAAAGAGACCCCCAAGTTTTTAGGTGTAGGAGAGATCGATCGATACACTTAAAAAGTTGTTTGTAAGTTTTGAGTCTGCCTACTGATCTCTTCGTGCAATAGTCATTTCACTTGGAAGGGTGGCGTCAGTTACACTAGCAAAAGATGGGTTGTGACAACGTCCTTTATACAAAACATTTAATAAGGAGAGAGAATGTCCTCTCGGAGAGGGTTGTCCTTCTGAAC